TCTAGTTTACCTAAATCATTTGTCATTTGGCTTATCCCTCCTGGAACATCAACCCTGTTATATATCTTAGTATCATCAGCAAAAAGACATACCTTACCATCAAGACCTTCTGCAATATCACTAATAAAAATATTAAAGAGAATGGGTCCAAGTACAGATCCCTGAGGTACCCCACTGGTGACAAGTCTAAGCTTCGAATATATTCCATTAACTACAACCCTCTGTTGCCTGTTACTCAGCCACTGCCTTACCCATTCAACAATATTTGAATCCAAACTTAAAGATTGCAGTTTATTGATAAGCCTTCTATGTGCAACAGTGTCAAAAGCCTTACTGAAATCTATGTCAGTTGAATGGCTTATAAAATAAATATACAGAGAACCAGTGAAAAGGCTAACTCACACTTTGCAGAGCTACTGAGAGCTCTGCCGTATAGCGCCTGGACGGTATAATCCCCGTCTTGGGATATAGGGATAATGGTGAGATGTAATATCCAAAGCTCCACAGCCGTAAATAAAAACAAGAGCACAAAAAAAATCCAATGGTGTAGTATGTACTATAAGATATTGGTAAATAGAGAAGTAAGTATCCTACTTACGATTTCCAGAGCAATAACTTGCTCTGGTGATGAAAGTTTATGGTGGTATAATCCCCACCAAGGGATATGGGCATAATCCAAAGTGCACCAGGAACAAAAAGTAAACCAAAGAGAGGAATAGGAAAAAAACTGCAACTTTATTAATAAAAAATAAAAGTCTATATATAAAAGTCCAGCATCCAATCTCTCACTCTACTTAACGCGTTTCGCCCCCGGGTTGGGGCTTCTTCAGAAGTATCAATGTTGGTGGGTGTCCGTCTGTGTTCTTATACAGTTCAGCATGTAGAAGCCCTCAGGTTTCAAAAGAGAAAATAGGTGGTTACAAAAACACATGTTTAACACCTTCTTCATGATATAAACAATGAAGAGTATATATATATATATATATATATATTAAGACACATCTATATTTTATGAAATAAAAATAAAATTAATAAAAAAGCATACTTAGTTAAGTTCAGTGGAAATATTCTTATAGCTCTGCTGTACTTATATATAGGCATAGGCGATTGCATTAGGGTGTGCACCCTAAAGCACAAACACACGCCACGCGCGTGTGTGTGTGTGTGTATGTCTCTCTCTCTCTCTCTCTCTCTCTCTCTCTCTCTATATATATATATATATATATATATATATATAAACACACACACACACACACACTGCTGTGTGTGCTGTTAGTGTGCTGTGTGCTGTTAGTGTTATGTGTGTGTGAGGGTGCGTGTTTGTGACTGTGCTGTTTGTGTGTGAGGGTGTTTGTGTGTGTATGTTTGTCCTGTGAGGGTGCTATTTGTGAGGGTGCTGTTAGTGTGCTGTGTGTGAGGGTGTTGTGTTTTTTTTAAAGGTGCTGTGTGTGTTTGTGAGGGTGCGGTTAGTGTACTGTGTGTGTGTGAGCTGTATGTGTGTAGGTGCTGTATGTGTGTGTACTGTATGTTTGGAGGGATTTGGCAGATTAGTAAATCCTTGCTGCCATGTGCCATCCCTGGTGGTCCAGTGGAGAGTGAACTCTAGCCTGCGGGGCTAGAGTTAACTCTCGCGAGATCTGAGCGTTGCCACAGCAACGCTCAGATATCGCGAGAGGAACCTGGCGGAGCTTCTGTCTAGAGCTCCCTGGGTCCTCTACTGCCTCCCTCCAAGCTGCTGTGGGCCGGTGAGGTAGATCTTTGGTCTCCCCGCCGGCCCATGAAGGCTTAGAGCAGAGCCGGCACTCAGATAGCGCCGGCTCTGCGTGTGTATGTGTGTATATATATGTGTATATATATGTACACACACACACATTGACAGACACACACATACACTCACAGACACACACTCACACACACACTGACACACACACATACATACTCACAGACACACACTCACAGAAACACACACACACTCACAGAAACACACACACACTCACAGAAACACACACAGACACACACTGACACACACATACTCACAGACACACACACACTGACACACACACATACTCAGACACACACTCACAGACACACACTCACACACACATACATACTCACAGACACACACTCACAGAAACACACACACACACACACACACACATACTCACAGACACACACACACACTGACACACACACATACTCACAGACACACACTCACACACACATACATACTCACAGACACACACTCACAGACACACACTCACAGAAACACACACACACACACACTCACAGACACACACACACTGACACACACACATACTCACACACACACATTATTATATATATATTTTTTTTTTAAATGTCCACCCAGCCTCCTACCTGGAGTGCTGGTGGACTTGTCCCTGGGGTCCAGTGGGGCGGGCGCCTCTCTGCAGCTGAGCCGCGGCGAGGGAGCTCTCTGCTGTGTGCTCTCTGCTCCCTCTCGCCGCGCGGGCTGTCCGCTGTAGCTGGGAGCCGGAATATGACGTCATATTCCGGCTCCCGGCATCAGCGCGCGGCGAGAGGGAGCAGACAGCAGAGAGCAGAGAGCTCCCTCGCCGCGGCTGAACTGCGGGGCGGGGGGGTTATCCATCACCTCTTGCCCCCCCTCCCCCATGACAGGGGCAAGAGGTGAGACAGGGGGGCGCTGAGTGCCTGCAGGAACAGCGTTCCTGCTCAAAAAAAGTGCAGGAACGCTGTTCCTGCAGGACTCAAGCCGTAGGCGTGCGCACGCCTATGTATATAGGAACAACAATACTAATATACTTAAAGATGCACTGTCCGAACTTACCTTCCTCAATCTCTTCCTCTTCTCCCCCTCTCTCAGGATCTGTTCTTCTTTTCTTCCTGTCTTCTTTAGTTTTCTTTAAAATCATAAGACAAAGTAGGGACTCTTTGCCTCATGGAGGTTTCCTCTGCTTGACCAGTTCTGACCAGCAGAGGAGCAAAGTGTGCTTCATTTCCGGTGGTCAGAGCAATTTTCCCATAATTCTTACCTTTCCACTGTGTTCCCGCGATGCTTCCTGTCATTTTAGACGAAAATGCCGAATTGCGTTCTAACTGAATGAGAACATTATGTTCGTTTGTTTTAGAACACAATTCTGCACTTTATTCGTGTCGGAATTTCATTCGAATGAATGAAACTCCGATACTATTCGTGCTGTGGCTGCATCTTGCAGTCGCTAAGTAGATAACTCCCTAATTCCCACAGTATCAGGGAGTTATCTACTAAAAGGCTGAAAGACCTGAATTGGTCTTTCAGCCACATTTACTAATACTAAGTAAAAATTACTTAGTATTAGTAAATGCTGCCCCTACTCGCTATACCGCGAGTAGGGGCCTCTGACTGCTCACTGTAAAAGAAATAAAAACAAAAACCTATTGGCCCCCACCCCTAAATGACGGGTGGGGGCCCAAAAGTGAAATAAGGGGGGGAGACCGATTGTCCCCCCGGCCCCCACCCATGTGCGGTGGGTGGGGGCCATAATGATAATGAGGGGGGAACCTACTGTCCTCCCCCCCAGACCCTCACCGCTGGGCGGCGGGTGGGGGGACCTACTGCCCCAGGCTGCTCACTGTTTACTAGACATGCCCCTACTCGCGAGTAGGGCATTGGGGAGATTTTAATTTCCCTTATGCTATTATGGGGGTTATATTGACCCCATAGAGTGAGGGGGACCTGGGGGGCTTATGAAGTGGTGGGGAGCACTGCTCCCTGCCGCTTCTATAGTTACATATTACAAGGAGGGAGCTCCGTGCTGGTAGCTCCCTCCTTGTAATAAACTGAACGAACAAACAAACACTGATACACAGTGTTTGTTTGTTCGTCTGATTTTTCTATTCATTCATTCATCTGTCTGATGAATGAATGAATAGATGAAATTCCCGTTCGCATGTCCAGGTGTTTCACTGGACATGTACGGGAATCTCACAGGCTATCTAGTGTGGGCTGATGACGTGTCCCACGGGGATTTCATCCACCCACACAAAGATCGCGGCACCCTGAATAAAGATCGGGGCAGAAAATAAAGTTTCAAAAAATAGGTAATATTGGGGGCTTAGGGGTATTTGGGGGTGACTAGGGGGTCAATTGGATGTAGTGGAGGCGGGAGGGGGGTTTAAAAAAAATGGGATTCGGCCTGACAGTGCCGCTTTAATAACCACTATATTGACAGATTTTATAAACAGGAATTCCAAGATTTTACTATTAACATGATGTAAAGTCATGATTTTATTAATGACACGGAAGCTCCTATTATGCTAACTCTTTCTTATTTTATTCCTCAGCAGCAAAGAGAAATTATAACTGAAAGAGAAAATATGTGTAATATGAATAATATTTAACAGATACAACCAGGTCTGCCTAGTAACAGGGCAGCCAATCAGCTTATAGGAACAGTCCGTAAATGTCTTGCTGTGTACTTCCACTTCCTCTTCTTTGCCTTCTGAACCGAAGACCCAACAACCGAAGAAGTATCCAATTCAGGAACGAACAATCACCAACATGGTAAACATCAACGCAACGAAATCAGGCTGTAAAAACAGAGAAATAGGTGGTAAAATCCAAACTCCGGATCTGTATGTAATATACCATAACAATTCATCTTATATATAAAAATAGAAAATGTTGAGTATAACATATAAACCAGTATAAAGACCATACCGTATTCCAGAACAACAAACAAAATCATGGACACTTACCGCAAGGTAGAAGGCCTTCCCGATTGAACCAAAATTGTGGACCCAACACATACCCACCGGGTGGGAATAATACTCTCCTCCGTGTCATTAATAAAATCATGACTTTACGTCATGTTAATAGTAAAATCTTGGAATTTTATTAATGACACGGAGGCTCCTATTATGCTAGTTCAAAGCTGAGCCACAAATAATGAAGAAACATGGTTAATCGGGCGGAAATAGAAGTCACGGAACGTAGATTCACTAGACCAATCCGCTGCCTTCAAAATATCATCCAAGCGACAACCCATCTTAGAGGCTTTGGATGCCATGGCTCCTCTGACCGAATGAGATGAAAATATCGATGTATCAATCCCCGCAGTGGAAAGGACATTCTTAACCCAACGAGCCAACGTAGTCGAGGAGACCGGTAGGAACAGCGTCCTAAAGGAAATAAACAGCTATGTCAAGTCCAATGACCTCAACTGTTGAGTGCGATCCAAGTAAACCCAGAGGCAAGCCACCGGACACAGAGCAGGACGGACCGAACACCTTGTAGTCTTGTAGTGGCTTGCGGAACGTCTGCGACGGATCAGGGTCCCCTGAGATCAACCAAGACGTGAGCTGGAGTAGGTCCTGATCCACCAATTCGAGCAAATTCCCATCCGGATCCAGAAGCACATCCGGTCGCATTGTGATCGTCAGTGGGAAATCCATCGTCATCTCCAGGAGACGAGGGAACCAAGGTTGAGTCTGCCATGGGGAACTACTATCACCAATGTGCAATCTTGTCTGGACAAATACGCCAGTGTCCGAGAGATCAGGTTGAATGGGGGAAACGCAAAGTGACGACCCCGAGGCCACGTTTGCAGGAAAGCATCCACCGCCGTTGCCGATGGGTCCAGTCTCCAACTGAAGTATCGGGGCAGTTGGAAGTTTAGCCTGGATGCGAACAAATCCAGTTGCAACGGATCCCATAACCGATCTGTCAAAAGGTTGAAGGGAGCAGATGCCAATCCCCTGAGTCTTTCAAGCAACGTAAATTCCAATCCGCACATTCATTGTCCAATCCTGGGATGTGTTCGGCAGTAACCGACACTGCGTTGTGGAGGCAAAACTGCCAGAAGTCCTTTGCCAGGTTCGCTAGTTGTTTTGATTTTGTGCCACCCAGATGATTTATATATCTGACTGCGGACACATTGTCCATGCGCAGAAGAATGCAGCAATTTCCCAGAGTTGGAGACAGGCTGCGAATGGCAAATAATCCCGCCAGTAGTTCCAGGCAGTTTATGTGTAGCCTCGACTCGACTCGACTTCGGACCCTCTGTCACCTGTGGAGGAATTTCCACAGCGAGCACCCCAGCCATGTAGACTGGCATCCGATTCTATCACCACATCCGGAGCAGTTCCGAAGATTGCTCGGCCATTCCATGCCTCCATATGGTCCAACCACCACAGTAGTTCTTCCCTGGAATTTCTGTCCAGGCTCAATTTGCTTTCGTATAAACTGCCCGACCGAAGATGGGATCCCTTCAGGCGTTGCAGAGCCCGATAGTGTAGGGGTCCCGGAAAAATCGCCTGAATTGATGAGGCCAAAAGACCAATCACTCTCGCCAGTTGTCGTATGGAGAGAGAGGTGGTCCGCAGCGTACGTTTTATTTCTTTCTTCGTAGCCTTTAACTTGGCCTCTGGGAGGAACAAGAATTGGGCGATCAAGTCAACTTCGAAACCCAGGAATTCTATCTTCTGTACTGGGGTCACTAAGGATCTTTCCCAATTTATGAGGAAGCCTAAGCCTTCCTGGAGATTCACTGTCCAGACCAGGTGTCTTAGAAGTTGGTCGAGGGGATGAAGACATAATTAGGATGTCGTCCAGGTAAATAATCATGCGGACCCCCCGAGCCCTGAGGAACGCCACTACTGGCTTCATTACCTTTGTGAAGCACCAGGGAGCTGAAGATAGACCGAATGGCAGACAGGTAAACCGACGTCCTTGCCACGTAAAGTCCCAGTGCTCCTCTGCCATTGGTATGGTCAAATAGGCATCTTTGAGGTCCAGCTTGAACATCTAGTCACCTTGTCGCAGCAGGTCTCTAAGACAATGAATGCCTTCCATCTTGAAGTGATGGCAGCGGAGAAATTCGTTGAGGCGTTTGAGATTTATGACAGGTCGAACTCCTCTGCCCTTCTTGGCAACAAGGAACAAATTGCTTAGGAACCCTGGGTGCTCGTACGGGACTTCCTGTATTGCCTGTTTGGCATGAAGTTCCGCGATTTCCGCTGTAATCAACCCAGACTGCTCTTCCAGTAATCTCAGTTCCTGTGGTATACATGTTTGGACAGGGTGGGACAACAGATCTAGGTGGAAACCCCTGACCGTATTTAAAACCCACACATCTGCGGTGATCATGCCCCACATATCGATAAACAGCGCTAGCCTGCCCCCCATGCTTGTACGGGAAAAAACACATTTGGGGGTGTGGCGAAACCGACTTCGCCACTGGGCATTGGAGAAGACTGATTGCCAGCCTCCTGCCCTGTGACTATGGCCCCATGTTGAAATGCTGAATTTTCCCCTGTGAAAGCTGGGTCATTCGGTGCTTGCCCTGTTTGAGTGGTGATACACCAGATAGCTATGCCATGGAGCCCATTCATATAATGAAAGACTATGGGAAAGACTTTGGCTCCATGGCAATCGAACTGTATGTGTATGCTCTGAGCGCCATTCAGTAATAATGTGTGCTCAGATCTGAGCTATCTGGGGATATGTTGAATGTACCTGTTTTGTGCAATGGCTGCACAGTTATATATTTTTATGTGTTTTATTGTCTTTTGCTGCCATGTGTTCAATGGAGTTTTGCCTCTGTCCTTGGAGATAATTGGATTACTTCCCAATTATCTCCAGGATAGAAGAGTCTGTGGAACTGGTTTGGGGCAGAAAAGCCATGCTTCATTTGGTTACAAAGGACTACGATCTATCTTTTGAACCACTGGACCAATTTGTATGATTTTGATGTATGTTTGTATTTGGAGTATGCTGATTCTGAAAATGTAATTTTATGTGAATGTGATGCATACTTTTCAAGTTATGAATAATGTGGAAAAACTGTATTTCTCTGTTTGTGATAATTACATTACCCATTGTGTAAGGTAATTGTATCAGAAGCAGAGGGGAGGATTTTGTGTGGGAGTCTCTTTCTGTAGTGTACGTGTGTTATTGGTTGTTCTGTAAAACCCTGTGGGCAGTACTAAATTTGTGGAAAAGAGGCTGTATGTGCCAGTACAGTCAGTTCTGCTTGACCTCAAAACGAAGTGTCGTCTCGTTATTGGGGGAATTGGATTGTATGCGGATTGCAAGGAGTGTAAGCTGATTGTATGCTTTTCCTGTTCAGCTGTTTACAACATTCACATGCTTGAGAGCATTCATATGCTTCTCCGGTTCGCTGGTTGTGGTGTCTGTTGCAGTGCTTGGAGCCCTCAGGAAGCGCTAGGAGCATGCCTTCAATGGAGGTACCCAGTCGGGGTGCCAGGTGATCCGTTACATTGGTGGCAGCAGTGGGATGGCGTCCTAGTGCGAGGTAAAGCAGCTCAGAGACACCGTTCGTGGAGTTACAAAATGAGGACAACGTTAGCACATGTGCAGCGCCCCTAGGAGCAGAGGTATCCAGCGACTTGCAACAGACAAGTATGGAAGGCTCTGGTGATGATTGGATGGCCGAGGTGAGGCAGCGAGTGGCCCAGTATGCGGATGATATACAAATGGAGGTACGCCGGGTGATCTGGAACCAGGTCACGGCCGAGCGAAACACAAGGCTGCACCAAGAATTCCGGCTGGCGAAAGAGAGAGAGAATGCTCAGCGGAAGGAGTGTCACAGCAGCCGAGTAGAGACTGCATCCGAGGAGATTAGTCGTCTTTCCCTGAGGCGGCCGGAGGAATCCGAAGTAGTGGTCCTCATAGACTGGTCCTGTGAGGAACCACAACAGGCAGGTGGAGATGGGACCGAGGTCTCTCCACCGGGCCCACTGGGATGACGGGCAGCCGGCCCAGATTCCCAGCAGCAGCCGGAGTTGCGAGGTGCGGAAGCAGGTGATCCTTACTCGCAAATGTTGAGAGACCTCACAGACTGGTCCTGGGAAGACCCACAGATGGCAGGTGGAGATGGGACGGCGGTCTCTCTACCGGCCCTACAGGGATGCTGGGCGGTCGGCCCAGATCCCCAGTGGCGGTATGTATCACAGGGAGCTGAAGGTGCTGTCCTTCCTCCCCAGCGGCAGTGTGTTTCACTGGGAGTGGAGAACAGCGTTCTTCCCCCCCAGCGACAGAGTGCCCTACAGAGAGCAGAGACAGCTGGTCTCTCTCCCCTGCGACAGGACACCTAATGGAAAGGGGAGACAGTCGGTCTCCCTCTACACCAGCAGAAAGAGTGTCATGGAGAGGAGCCTTTTACCCCCTCTCCCCAGCGGCTGAAAGTGTGTAAAGGAGAGGAGCTTGTTACCCCCTCTCCCCAGCGGCAACATAGCCCACCATGGGGAGACACTAAGCCCCCTACCAGCGCAGATGGGATCGTGGTCTCTGCGCTCAAACTACAGGGAGTACGGACAGTCAGTCCTGCTCCCCAGTGGCAGAGTATTCTAAAGGGAGGGGAGGGCCTCGTTCCCCCTACCCAGAGGCAGCCTAGCCCACCAAGGGGAGATGATAAGCCACACACCAGTGCAGAGGGGACCGTGGTCTCTGTGCCCAAACCACAGGGTGTAGGGGCAGTTGGTTCTGTCCCTCTGCAGCAGGGCTGTTTATCCAAAGGGGAGACAGCCTGTCTTCCCCTCCAGCAGCAACACCAGGTCCAGAGGGAGGAGCCTACTAACCCTTCTCCTCAGCTGGGCTCCAACCAGGCTACTCCCGTGGTAGCACTGGCACCAGAGCAGAGTACCGCTGGTTTCTGCCCACTCAGCAACCCACCGATCCGGAAGGCTAGTACCCCCCAGAGCCGTGGTGGAGCCCCTGGACATGGACAAGATACCCACTACCCCAGGTGCAGTAACCAATTCTTGTGGGTGGGTCACTCTGTTGATTATGTTTAATGGGTGGGTTGCTGGACTAACCAAGGCACTGACCGACAGGAGGTCAGATACCTTGTTAGTCTTTTTGGGAAAGGGGAGAAATGTGGCGAAACCAACCTCGCCACTGGGCATTGGAGAAGACTGATTGCCAGCCTCCTGCCCTGTGACTATGGCCCCATGTTGAAATGCTGAATTTTCCCCTGCGAAGACACGAAAGCTGGGTCATTCGGTACTTGCCCTGTTTGAGCGGTGATACACCAGACAGCTATGCCATGGAGCCCATTCGTATAATGAAAGACTATGGGAAAGATTTTTGCTCCATGGCAATTGAACTGTATGTGTGTGCTCTGAGTGCCATTCAGTAATAATGTGCACTCAGATCTGAGCTATCTGGGGATATGTTGAATGTACCTGTTTTGTGCAATGGCTGCACAGTTATATATTTTTATGTGTTTTATTGTCTTTTGCCAGTCGGGGTGCCAGGTGATCTGTTACAGGGGGTACTTTTCGTAAGGGTGCAAGTACGAGGGTTGACCAAGTCCTCCTCGATTCTGCGGGCTTGTACTTCTGGTAGGCCCGAGGGGCAGCAAAGGAACCTCTGTGAGTCCGTGACAGACCTCGAGACCCATGGCCGGGCGGATGGCTCCTATATCACCTGATCCCTTGGAAAACCTTTGGGCCAAAAACACGTTTCAAGTTGGACTAGGCCTTATCTAGGGCGGTGAAGGTGCGCACAAGGGAGCCCAGGTCCTTAACAAAGGACTCACCGAAGAGCATGCCTTTGGCGGCAACACCCGGTTCTTTCACCGCCAGGTTTACCAATTTTGGCTCAATCTTGAGCAAGATCGCCTTGCGGCATTCAGCCGACATGGCTGTGTTAGCGTTGCCGAGAAGGCAAATCAGTCTTTAAACCCATCTGATCGCTTCATCGAAATTAATGGGGTGTCTCCTGCCTTAGCTGCCTCCAAGAGCTCATAAAGCTTGGCAGCAGGACCCAGGGTGTCCAAAATTTTGTCCTGACAATTGTGGAGTGAGAACTTCAGTCCCTTCCTGGGTTTCCAGCCCGTTTTTGCCAGGAACTGTGTAATTTGAGGGTCGACCTCTGGCGTCTTGCACGCCGCATCAGGCACTGAGGGCCTAATTTACTGTGCCCCTCCTTGGACAGAGGAGTGCGCATACATAGAGCTAGGTTGTTAGCTATGTGCTCGGGCGGGTCCATTTCCGCCAAGCAGGGATGGCGAAGGTCATCAGGATCGAACAGGGGGTAACCCTGCGGATCACATATGCCTTGCCCCCCACCCTGAGGTAGCGCCGAAGTGTCAGACTCCGTCTCAGTGTCGGAGCACCCTTCCTCGTAGGAGGCGTAATCAGGGGCGTCTGAGTTCGTCTCCCCACTCAGATCGGAGTCTGATCCTTCATCAACATGGACACGCGCCCTTTTACACTTTCTGGCCGATTTTGCCCGGCCAGCAGCCATCTTGGATGGCCATAGGCACGTCAGTCAGGGCAGGTAATACCTGCATCACATCAGGAGACGTGTTTTGTTTTAGCATGAGCCTTGCGGCTCGCCTGAGGCTGTAGCGCAGGCTGGGGGTTGGGCATCATAGAAGGGGTCAGGGGTTGAGTCAACGGCTGCTGAATGGTATGAGACAGGGACGAAGACACTCCCTGAGAGGGAGTGAGGCCAATCTCCCCAGTAATAGGGGTTTGCATGGAATCCATAATGGGGTAACTGGGGCTGTCAGACTCCTCACCTCTAGCCTGCATAATAGGGCAGGGAGAGAAACCCAAGACCAGTTATAAAATATATACTATAAATATCTCCACAGGGGAAGATGTAATACAATAGTAATATAATAGAAGAAAAAAGGGGGTCTAAATTACACTATATCCTAAGAGGGGTTGAGTAACCCACTGAGAATACCTGAAAAGTAACCAAGACTGAAAGGGAGAGGTAAAGGGAGCCGACCCGCCGAGCAGTCCCAGCCACGTGCGTGCAGGTAGTGAGAAGATGGCCGCCCTGTGCAGAGAGCGCTGCGGGTGCGAGGAGACTGATCGGGGCGGCCGATAACGTGGCCGCGTGTGAGGGGAAGGGAGGGACGACCAGGGAGCAATGAAGCTCCAGGAGGAATCTTCCCCTGGTAGCCGCGGATCCCGGCCTGTGCCGTCAGATTTTTTAGATGCAATTGTTGTGTAGCCTGTAAGAAAACCAAACAAAATGGATAGACATACATCTAACTTTAAATCAAATAATACTAATAAAAACTATGAGATTAAGGATACTATTACATCTATGAGTAAAAATGTAATTTATTGATTAGAATGCCCTTGCGGCCTACAATATGTAGGGAGAACTATAAGACCCCTGAAAATTAGAATTAGAGAGCATTGTAGGAACATCGAAAAGGGTTTTAAAAATCACCTTGTATCCTCTCACTTTGAACTACACAATAACGACCCAAATTTATGGGTATCACGAAATTATCTCAACATTGGAGAGGTGGTGAGATGGTTAAGAAATTGGGTAAAAAGGAGATGGAGTGGGTCTACTTCTTAGGTACACTACATCCTAAAGGCTTAAATGCCGAGTTTGATCCTTTTAATTTTTATACAAATTATTTTTTCTAAAATTATCTTATTTAATTTTATACTACAATGATACTCTTTTTAATATTTGTATCCTCAATTTCTCATTTTTTATATACAACTCTCCTATGTATATTGTATCCAGTGACAATTTTGATCACTTGTAATATATAAGTTTTCCTCTGGTTTTACAAGTTATTATTACGAACATTGTTGTAACCATTTACTGCTGCTCTTGGATAAGAACTCCATTATTACTGGATGAGTAGGTCTCCAGATAGGAATATCTGTGATTCCGGTTTATAAAATCAGTTAATATAGTGGTTATTAAGTATATTAGTATCGTTGTTCCTATATACAAGTACAGCAGAGCTATAAGAATATTTCCACTGAACTTAACTAAGTATGCTTTTTTATTAATTTCGTTTTTATTTCATATAATATAGATGTGTATTATATATATATATATATATATATATATATTCATTGTTTATTTCATGAAGAAGGTATTAAACGTGTTTTTTGTAACCACCTTTTTTCTCTTTTGAAACCTGAGGGCTTTTACATGGTGAACTGTACACCTTCCACTTATAGAACTACTTGTCCCAGCAACCACCGCTAGCCGCGTTACGTCATTTTTGGGTGACGTACGCGACTATCGGTGTTAATAGCAATACATGAACTACATGTTCCACCAACCCTTGCGAGCCGCGATACGTCACTTCCGGTCGACGCACGCGACCCACCGGAAGCAGGAAGAGTGCACACACCGGATCATAATGGAACCTTTAGTATCCCCTATAAGAACACAGATGGACACCCACCAACATTGATATTTCTGAAGAAGCCCCAACCCGGGCGAAACACGTTAAGTAGAGTGAGAGACTGGATGCTGGACTTTTATTTTTTATTAATAAAGTTGCAGTTTTTTTCCTATTCCTCTCTTTGGTTTACTTTTTGTTCCTGGTGCACTTTGGATTATGCCCATATCCCTTGGTGGGGATTATACCACCATAAGCTTTCATCACCAGAGCAAGTTATTATTAAGTAGGATACTTCTCTATTTACAAATATCTTATAGTACACACTACACCATTGGATTTTATTTGTTCTCTTGTTTTTATTTACGGCTGTGGAGCTTTGGATATTACATCCCACTATTATCCCTATATCCCAAGACGGGGATTATACCGTCCAGGCGCTATACGGCAGAGCTCTCAGTAGCTCTGCAAAGCGTGAGTTAGCCTTTTTACTGGTTCTCAATTGACATATTGCACTATCATGGTTTTATATTTGTATTTTCTTAAGGTTTATATACACCATAATATTGTTGAAATATCCTGTATGTATGTATATACCATTTTCATATTTTAACCACTTTTAATTCTTCTGTGTCGCTGTTTACCACTCTGTTTTTGCACTTTTTTGGTTATTAGCATGTATTGGGAAGCCCTGCTGGTTCACTTCTGCCGTATATTTAGTTATTTTAGAGAGTGCCTATACCTCCTTTTTCTAATTCTTTAAATACCTCTATTTCTTTTATATATATTCCTTTGAGTATTTAGAGAATTAAGGATGGAATTAATTTTCAGGCCTAAAAATATTTTTTATTAACATGTCAGAGATATATGTCGGAGAAAATAAAGGGTGGTGGGAAGTTCCTATTGCATAGGAGTAGAGAGCATATAGATTCCCTTATAGATCTCACAGATTCCCGTATTAGTCTCCTGTACCTGGGAAAGTAGTGTCTGCAAGAGGTTGCCGTTCTATTACAGCCGAGTTCCTCTCCAAGCGAGCCAACCGTTTGGTGCACCTATTTGTCCCCACCAGCCCGTGTGTGCCTCTTTGTCCATCCATACCCTTTGTAGTCTCACCCTCCAAGTAGTGTGGCCAAGCGGACCCCAGCGGATGATCATCTGTATTCTTTATCCTCTACCTGCAGGCTGCTTGTCCAAGCTACATGCAGCGTCTGGCAGTAGGATAGCACTGTGCTGTGCGCTTCCCTCCTGCCATTCATCCAGCGATTTAATCTCCTGTACCAGTGTGCCTAAATCGTCTGCCTAATTCACTTAGCAGTAGCATCGCCCCTGCTCACACTCTGTCAAACTCACTGTCTGCTTCCATCTGTCTCACACAGTCAGTCTCTTTCACCCACTTACTCACTGTCTATTACCGTCTCCAACACACTCTTTCTCTGTTTTAGTCCTCACTTCACTTTCTGTCTTACCCACTCTTTGAGTGTCATACGCACGTTTACTCTCTCCGTGACTCTCAATATCTCTCTCTCTCTCACAATCAATTTAATGTTTTCTATCTCCAGCAATCATTCTATATCTTCCTCTCCCACTTGCAGTCTCCTGTTTCTGAATTTGTCTCCCACACTCACTCTTTGAGTGTTACTTTTTCAGATTTTCTCTTGTACATGCTGATGCTTTGTCTTTCTCACACTGTGTCAAACATATTAATACACACTCTAGTTCTCTCACACACACTCACTACAATTTGCCACAAAGTCTGAGTGTCTGTCAGGAATCCGGGAACCAGAACACACAGGCAAATACAAGAATATAGAATTGTAATACCGATCCTTAGAATGGTCGAGTTATACAAAAGAGAATAGTCAATATACGAGCCAAGTTCAGGGAACTAGAGCACAGGAATAACGATAAGTAAGCCAAGGTCAAGGGATACGAGAGGGGGCGTGGTCCAGGCGCCGACCAAGATGGCCGCATAGGAGGAGAGCTCCGCTCCACCAGACCCCTAATTAGCTCCTAAAAAGCGCTTGCTTAAGCCAAATGGGTCGCACAAAACGCCCAGAGTGTGGCGAAACCGGCCTCGCCACGTGTCCTTGGAGGGGGCTGCTTGCCCGCCTCTTGCCTTTGGACTATGGACCAGACTTTATGAGAATGTGTTAACCCAGATAGCTATGCCATGGAGCCCATTTGTGTAGTTAAAGACTTCGGCTCCATAGCAATTGAACTGTGTGAATAGGATCTGAGCGCTCTTCAGTAGTTTTGTGCGCTCAGATCCCAGCTATCTGGGGATATGTGAAATGTCTGTGTGTTATGTGAAAAGGTTACTTTATGTATTTTAAAGTGTTTTGTGTCTTTTTGCAACCATGTGCTTAATGGAGTCTTGTGTCTGTCCTGGGAGATAATTGAATTACTCTCCAGGATAGAAGACTCTGAAACTGGTTTGGGCCAGAAAGCCATGCTTCATTTAGTCACAAAGGACTTTCCCTTAACTTTTGAACCCCTGGTCTAATTCGTGCCATTTTTTAATATGTTGTTGCCCTGAATGGACTGATTATGAAAATGTATGTTTTATGTTTGTGACATGTATATTTTAGAAGTTATAAATATTGTGTAAAAACTGTATTCCTCTGCCGGTGATAATGAGATT